TTACAGTTTTGTATTTTTTATCAAATTATAGCCTTGGTGAGCATAAGACTTTAAAAAAAAAAAAAATCTTGCTGATCCCAGACTTTTGAATGTAGTGTAGGTAAATCTTATCAACCCCTAACTTTTTTGGATAGTAATTACAATATTACCAGACACCGTATTAGCTTGCTTTGTTCACAGGCTGATTCTATTTAAAGCAGATACTATATAAACCTTGAAATGGTTTGCTCTCCATTGTCTGTCTTGGTAGAGTCCGAAAGGAACAGAGCCGCAGTGTGCATAACAGGAAGAATCTTGCGGCAGCCTTCCTGTGCCAGGAGGTTGACAAGCTCTCAGGGCGTGGCTTTAGGATTCAGTTATGGGAAAGAGAGAGAGAAAAAATAATAAAAGGAAGGTCTTTAGGTCTACAGGGGAAACGTTTAGTGGTCTGATTTCCTTCCTTGATTGGAACAGGTGCAGACATGTGAGTCCACCCACCTTACTGAATGAATGAGAGCCTGTGTGTGGGTGGAGCTCCAGTGCTGCTTCACAGCTTGTCCGATTCCTGTTCCGTCTTGTTAAGAAGGAAATGGAATATAATTCCCTTTATATTGATTCGGTTGTCTCTCGCTGACGCCATCTGGCACAAATCCTTAGTACACACTGTGCTCTTGGTACAATAGTGTTGAGTGAAACAAACTGAAAGGCCCTACATCATTCTGACAGTGTAAAATCTTATACCTAGTGCTAAGTTGTTAGCAACACATTCTGAAGATCTTGAAGTTTATTAAGAGCTTTGTGTCTACTAGCAGCAGAGTACCATCAAAACCGAAATGGCCTTATAAAGAAACTGTTGTGGCTCTTCTTGTCTGTCAAGTCATGGGTGACACATAGTGAAAGCAGGGCAGAGGCTTGACTTCTAGAGAGGGATTGGTTCTAAAAAAGCGTTATTTATAACCTGAAAAACGTTTTACAGTGGGTGATTGCAGTCAAGATGGCACTACTATTAAAAATGGCAAAAAAAAATTATTTGTGATGATTTAAATAGGTAATATATAGTACATTGTAAATAAATATAATTTTTATAATTTTAAATTCTGTCTTTGGTTGGTTGATCAGAATAGCTCAATTCTGAATTAATATTTTCTTCACTTTTTTTTCCCTTAAATATAAGATTAAAAGTGCCTAGTGCAAAGCTTATATACAGGTGCATCTCAATAAATTAGAATGTCGTGGAAAAGTTTCTAACTAAAATGTCCTAACTGCAAAGTTTGTGCTTTAACGCCCCCTAGTGAAAAATGTAATTTCACTGGTTTACAGCAGGAAGTGTTTGTTCATGTCAGCTGAAAAGACTATCTCTCTCTCTCTCTCTCTCTCTCTCTCTCTCTCTCTCTCTCTCTCTGTCTTTTTGTTATTTATTTTTGTTTTTACTTAATTCAAAGTTAAAGGAAAAGAATAAAGCAATATCACACAAGTTGTGCTCAAGATCAAATATTCGTTACATTAGCACAGATGCGAGAGTGTGAAGTTTAAATTGAAATTTCAATTCATACTTCAGTTTCAGTTGCAGCCATTTCAGACACAATATAAACTTTTACACAGTTTATTCTTTAAGCTCACTGTTGTCTAATTACTATTAAATCTTGAAAATATGCAAGTACATTCACACACTTTTTCTCTTTGTATCTCCAGCTATCATTGCCAATTCACAGGAGGCCTACAAGGATGCCTTTGAAATCAGTAAGGCAGAGATGCAGCCCACACACCCCATTCGTCTGGGCCTTGCGCTCAATTTCTCCGTATTTTATTACGAGATTCTCAACGCGCCCGACCAGGCCTGTAAGCTTGCCAAAACGGTAAGGTTAACACACACCCACATGCACACAGGCTAATGAACAAGATATAAGAGTGTTACCCACAATTATATTGTCAATTCAAAATATCCTCATAACCATTTTGTTTTTGGTTGATCTTTTTCTCCTAGGCTTTTGATGAGGCCATTGCAGAGCTTGATTCACTGAATGAAGAATCATACAAAGACAGCACATTGATCATGCAGCTACTGCGGGACAACTTGACAGTGAGTTTCTCTTTAGTAGCAGGTTAAATTAAGACAATTTAACACATTAATTTAGTCCAGGTATTAAATGCATTTTTGTAGACTATAGGTCACTGATAGGCTTAAGGCTCGTTCACACTAAGAAAGATAATGAAAACTATATTAGCGGCCACACCATCGGGTGATAACATTCAAGCTTGTGTTGGAGTTATGTCGTTTGCCACTTTAAATCCTGGAGCTCTCTAAAGTTGAGTGAATTCTAATTGGCTGTCAGTGTTTTTATCATTCATCAGCTGGAATAAATCATTCTGATTCCAACAATATTGTTCTTCTGTGTTATTATAGATGTGGTTTGGACTTGTAGATGTGGAGTTAGAATGATTATTGAAACTTTACACATCAATATTTTTTGTGTGGCGACAGTACAAAAACATACATTTATAAAAACGTAAAATTAACATAACTATACATGATGGCAAAGTGCACGTTTACTCTATTGGACATATTATACATGTTTGCACGAGATTAGTTTATTAATTTTAAGGCTGAGAACAGGATTCCTTTAAACCAGCACTTAACCTTTGCACATTTGTTTTGGTAGGAAGTTGCAGTCTGATTTATTAGTAGTTTGTATCATTTATTCAGTTTTTTTTTATTCATCTGACAGCCCTAATTTAAAAGAAAGTGTCTTAGCATTCATTCTTTTTTTTTAAGGAAACTTGCTCAATTAGTGTCTAACTAGTGCCCTGTCCTCTGTTTTGCAGCTGTGGACTTCAGATAACCAGGGTGATGGCGAGGACACCGAGGAGGGCCGGGAAAACTGAGTCTCGCTCTGTCCGTCATTCCCCTGTTATTCACCTGCCATCGTTCCAGCTCACCATCAACACTGAGACCACCTCATCATCAACTTCTGTCTCTTTTAGTTCTTTTACTCGTGCGCCTTCCTTGCTTTCTTCCTTCCTTCCCTGTCATTGTGGGTTTTTTTTGTAAGGATTTGTGTAACGGGAGGTGGGTGGGAGGGGTTAAATAGGGGGAGGGTGGCCGTTGGGATGCAGCCAGGTTAGGGTACCAGGAGGGGATGAGGTTTGTCTGCTGTTAACCTGGTTTTCTCTGTGGGGAGCTCTAGGTTGTCACATTAGTGTGGAAGAAATGTGGGTGAGGCAAGTTCTCAGCTCATGCAAAGTTGCAAGTTTTTGCAAAAACCCTTTTGTTATTCGTATACTGTATGTAAATTTCTGTCAAGGAGTCATTTGTCATGGTCATTATATACACCTGCAATTTAGCGTCTGCATTATAACAGCCCTTGTCTTCAAGTAGAGGTGGGGATAGCAGTTCTGGTCTTTAGCTAGGAAAGAAGCAACGGCAGCGTCACACCTGCTCGCTCACACATCCAAAAAATAACTTACATTCCATTTATTGTCACTTTCAAGTTTCTTATTCCAGGCATTTGGTGCCCTGCAAATTACATTTACTTATTCCCTGTTAATTACGAGGTATAGAGGACCCTAAGAACAAAGAGCACATAAGCTTGATACTGTTACCGTATGACTGTACAAGCAGAGCAGTAGGAAATACTGGTGTGATTTAGTTTTCCAGTAAATGGTTTTTTATTTTTTATATATTTTTTCCCCCTTGTTCCATTAATTTGTTTTGATACTTGCCTAATTTTCATGTGGCTATGAAGTAGTTAATATGGGGAGGAAAGGGAGTACTGTCGGGCTGGCTAGCTTTGTGTCATGTCTCTGGAATTTTCATACAGAACACCCAAGCATAAATGTTATTTGGAGGGAAAATATGTAATTTCATGTAAGTGGATTAAAAAATAATTTAACACAATGATTTTATTGGTGTTTTCTTCTTCTTCTTCTTCTTCTTATTTAATAAAAATGTGATGTGTCTTTACCATATTAGGATACGTAAAATCATGTAAATCAGATGGAATGCATTCTCTTTCAGAGGAATGCATTCTTGGCTTCCTAAAATCATAATTTAACCTAAAAATAGTTATCAGGGGAAAACTTAAGGAATACTGCAGTTCAAAAGTTTGGTCAGTTTTTTTTTATTTTTTATTATTCAGCACAAATTAAATACATTTTAATAACTTTTTAAAAATTAATAATTGATCCAAAGTGACATAAAAGATATAATGTTACAAAAGATTTTATTTCTAGTAAATACATATATTGCATATTATATGTGAACATATATATATGAATATTGTAACAATATTTCACAATATTACTGTATTTTTTATCAAATAAATGCATTAAAGAAGCAAGTCTCACTGACCCCAAACTTTTGAAAGACAGTTTAATATACTATATATATGTATATGTATGTATGTATGTATATATAT